TACCCCCGCTCCTGTAAGTGCTGGCCAGTCTTCTTTACATAGTGTTACCATCCTTTTTTTCTTTTTAGATAGACCTTTAATACCATCTATTTTTTTCCAGTTTTCTAAAACCTTGGCTAAGGGCATTCCCTTCTCTATGCTGGGTTTATTTCTCATTCTAAAATTTTACGTCTTATGCTGAACAGGCCGCGCAATCCTCCTTTAGTGTGCTATTTTACCAAAATTTAAAATTTTGAGGTGGGAATTTAAGACTCACCAGGTTCAGTGCCTCCCAACACAGCCAATCCCCACACAGGTCCCAGCTGCTCAGCGTCCTACCTGTCGGTTCAATGCCAGACCCATAAAGCTGGACTTGCAAGAGATCGCCAAGAAACCTACAGGTGGGAGGACAGAGGAGCCACCCAGAGTACCACCCCCAGGCTGGGAAGTCAGCTGCAAGTTGTCAGGCCAGCTGCCATGTAGCGCTACGCTCTGCTCTGGCCCACACCAGCCATTGCTGCCTGCTGGGGAGGCCCCTTCTCCCAGCAAGGCTTCGTCACCTGCTGAATTGCACTATGGCCTCCTTGCTCTCACCCAGCTTGGCCCATGCCTAGCCCTGGTGCAGGTATCCAGCTGCTCTCCACATGAGGCAGCACAGACTCTCCTTCTGGGACAGGAGTCCACCTGTCAGCCCTGCCCTGGGCGATGGGCATTCTGGCTGCTCCAGCTTCTCCTCCACTCGTAACATCCGTGGGATCAGGTCAGTCATCTGGCTGATGACCTCATACACGGTTATGGCATCCTGGTGCCTCCTGGCCTGCTCCAAGGTGGACACTGCTTCCAGGAACACCTCGGGGATCCTGGGCAGAGCTGAGCCACCATCTAGAGGCACCTGGGGAGCAAGAGCTATAGCAGTGCTCAGATGCAGAACTGCAGAGCACCCAGCCAAGCAGAATGACCCTGTGCTTACTGGGAACCCAGAGATGCTGCCCACCAAAGCTCAGACCCACTCCCACAGCCAGGTGGAACCTGAATCGCCAGCCTACACCACACTCGCTCTGGTCGTGATACCCATGACTTGAGCAGACCTACAACAGCAGTACTGAACCAGGCAATTTCCAGGAGCACAGAGAAAACCACAGATCCCAAACAAGCAGCATGTTGCAAGCAGACCAGAGGCGCTGTTACCTCCCGTCCTGGAGACACCGCTGTGCCAGCAGGTACTTCACTTCAGAGGGGTGGCAATGGCAAAGGAGAGAAGCTAGTATTGGTGTGTGGACAAGGAGCTCTGGATTAGGAAATATGGACTAGAGGAAGCAGCTGCTGGAGGGTTTTTTTCCCCAGAACCTGTGAAACAGGAACAGACAATATGGTCAACACAACTCTGGCCAAGTCCCAAGCAGCTGCAATCACTTGCCATTTCTGGCATCTGGAGATGCACCCAGATGAGCAGAAGCAATGCACTTCAGAAGCACAGCTACACTGTTCTCACTCGCTACAGAACAGCTGCTTCCAGGAAGAAGAAGAGCAACCAGGATCACACAGGGACAGGCAGACTTCTGCTCGCCATGCAGTATCAGGAGATATGCAAGATCACCCAGAGCACACGGTGCCTCAGGTTTTCAGTTCAAGGTGCTCTGAGCTGCCTGGAACAGCACCTCCCATCACAGCCGCAGACCTAGTTAGACCAGATCTTGGGCCATTCACTATGAGAGAGATCCCTCTCCACAGCTCTGTTTGTATCATCTTAGGGATTTTGAAAAGCTGAAGAGCTAACTCAGTGTCTACTGCTGTGACCTGCTCCTCCCAGGCAGACCAAGGTTGCTATGGCTAATGCACACCTCACAGCCACAATCTGTCTTTTAAAGGCCTCTTTACTAGATACTTTATTAAGAGACTGATACTCTGACACAAGAGTGTAACCTCTTCTCCCAAGCCACCAAGAACATGAACCCAAAGGTCTTGCCACATCCAACAGCCAGGTGCTGAGCAGGATACTTGGATCTAGCTGGGCTCCTTCCTGCCTGCTGCTGAAGGCAGCATCACAGCTGGATCACTGTAGTCTACTTTGGGGACCCCTCCAGGGTAAAACAGGCCCCCAGAAGGCAGGAGCCTGCTTGAAGCTCTGTGCAGGCTCTGCCAGGCAAAAATCAACCCAGAACTACAGGAAGCAGACAAACCTCGTAGAGCAGAGCCAGGGCCTGCAGCTTCACATCAGTCTCTAGTATACTTGGGATATTAATTCATGAATATTTATTGTGAATGGTATTTGCTTTTCTTTCAATCCCCATTTCAAGCTTCCCTCTAAGGACACCCTCACATGCCTCACATTTGCCACCTCCCCGCTGGAAGTGCTATCGCTACCCTAGAGGCTTTTGAGAGGCCTGTGGGCATGAGCTCCTGCTCTCCCTCCTCGCAGGAAGGCCCTGCATCAGCCTGAGCACAGCAAGGCAGCGCTGGCTGCCCCTGGAGCTGCAGGGGTTGTCAAGACAGTGAGCGAGGGAAAACCATGAGCAGGACAGAATGCAGCAGTCAGATGAGATCAATCATCTGTGCTGCGATACCAGGCTACAAAGCTGCACAACAGCTTTGTGTGGCTCCTGCAGCACTGTAATCCAGCGGGAACAACGTGCTTGCAACAAGGCAGGTGCCAGAAGAAAGGAAAATCCTCATAAGCCCCCTGCCAGCCTTCCACTTTATACAAGATCACTGCAGGGCCCAGACACCTACCTAAAGCCACAGACAGGCAGAGGAACCCTGTGACAGTGCAGAGAAAGGCTTAGCTGGGGAAAAAGCAGAGAAGCTCTTTGAATACTGAATGGCAAAGTTGAGACCCAGAGGCTCAGCCCAGGCCCTCTTCCAAAGGAAGAGCCCAGAGAACCTCAAGGGCTGGTTTGCTTGGGAAGAGCAATCAGGATAAGGGCAGGGAGAGGGGGCCCTGGGATGGGAGAGCAGTAGGAGGGAGGCCATGCCAAGATGAGTTTCTCCTCCACACAAACCTTGCAGGAAGGCTGCTGCAATGCACAGGATCTCCTTCAAGTCCTCGGCGCTCTGTACAAGGGGCATGGAGGCCCCCTTGGCAGGCACTCGCCATGCCTTGAGCAGGGAGAGGAGTTCATTCTCCCCACTGCCGCAGCAAGCTCTCCCTGGGTCCTGTGAATACACAGAGGAAAGAGAGCAGGGAATGCTGAAGGGAAGCAGGAAACACCAATCCCAGGGCACGGGGAAACAGAGGTCCCACCAAACCCTTTTACAGTGCTCTCTGAGCTGGGGAGCAATGTCCTACCACCCTCTCACTTCAACTACAACCCACTCGCTACAGTGATTCCTGCCTGGCCCAAGGCAGCACCTCTCCACCTCAGAGTGAGGTGCACCTCGAGGGGTTCCTGGCAAGGCAGATCCAAGTGCTGTCAGAGGGCATTCAAAAAGGTGGGACCCCTCAGCAGCCTTCATGCAACCTGGCCCTCCTGATCAGCAGTGAAAGTTCTTCTACGTCCCACTGCTCTCAGCTTAGTCCCTACAGAGGCTGCAAAAGTCTACTTGCAGCCCCCTTCCAGCCTGCCCAAGTCGCCTGTCTGGCACCTTGAGGTCCAGGGCCCTGGCAGGCAAGAGATATTCTGGGACCCATTAACGCACTCAGGGCCATTAGGCTATGCTGGGACACCAGGGAGAGGATTACTCATGCTAACTGGGAAGCACTGATGGGTTCAGGTCTCCAAATGTCACAGCGACATTATGCAGAGTTGGTTTTACGACAAGCACGGTATTTATGCCAGCTCTGCCTCCTTTAGCAAACCTGTGGGTATTTATATCTGTGCAGATATAGCTAGGGCACACACTGTGGCTACTTGGAAGCTCCCAGTGACAGCAAGAAAGCAAAATACAAGCCCCTCTCAGCCAACAGGCTAAACAGGGCTCCTGGCACCAGCTAGTAATTCAGACACTCTCCCTTCAAGGCAGAGCACACAAGCTGGCTCATGCCCACCCAAACAACTCACCCCACACGTGGCTTGGGTGCAAAACACCTGACTTGCCCAGAAAAGCCTTCAAGTGCCAGCTATGGAGTGAATCAGGCTACAAGACTAGCAAGAAAAGAGGGATAGCTGGCTTAAGGATCCCCCAAGACTAAGAGAAGACAGCTAATGCACACTCCAGAGTTGTAGGGGTGGTACCAGCAGGCAGATACTGCAGTGCAGGTAACTGGGAGCTGCGCAGCATCCACCTGTGCCCAGTTACCTCAGCGTTGTTCAGGAGCCTGAAGAGGCCAGCGATGCTTCCCAGGCGGCTGGCTGCCAGCCACCACGCTCCTTGCAGGCCCCCCAGTCAGTGCAAAGGTGCCTGCAGCTCCTCCACAGTTAACTCCTGCATCACCTTCTGCCAGAACTCCTCAGTGCTAAGATCCTGCTGCAGGCCCCACAAGCCTCCAGAACTGAAAAAATAAACAAATAAAGAAACAAACCAAAAAAAAAAAACAGCCATGAGACAACAGGTTGGTGCCCTGTAGCAGACACCCTCCCAAGAGGGAGGGAAAACCTCAAGCAAGCATGGGCTCCTCTTAGCGAGGGAAGGAACAGGGTTACAGGGCTTGCCTGGCCTCAGCGGCATGGAAACCAAGCACTCAGACAGTGGAGTTAATGGCATCAGGTGCAGGAGACAACACACAGTTCAGAGCTATGACTCCAGCTCTGCCAAGTCCTCCCGAGGTCACTTGCCCAGGAGCAAGCATGTGCTAACACTGCAGATCCCCCTCTGACTTGCAGCCTATTTCAGTGAGTTTTCTTTGAAGCCAGCACATCATAATTAAAGAAAACACTCATTTTATACTGTCACTAAAACGTTGCTAGAGAATCGGCACCTTACGCCTTGAAAAGTCCCATTTCCCTTAAAACCTTCAGCCCATCCCTGCAGGTTGCAGCAGGCAGACAGCCACACAGCTGCACATCATCCCTGGCTGCAAGCCACCCCACCTCCTGCCCTTCCCAGCAGAGCCAGGCTTCCTTGCTCCCATCCCCCCCCCCCCCCCCCCCCTCTCCAGCCTGTCACTGCACAGCTCCAAAGCATATAGAACGCTCTCCTTGCCCCGAGGAGCTCCCGTACAGAGAATGATCTCCTTACCCCTGAGGAGCCCCTGGCATATTCCTTCTGCTTCTCCTTCGATAGCAGACTCAGATGTTCCCGTAGTAAAAAGCAGGAAGTTGTAGAGGACAGTAAGCTCCAGAGGCAGGGCAGGGAGGGCAGCAGGCAGCCCTGTGATCACAGCCAACCCAACAATAAATTGAGCTGGCTAGGAAAAACCCAACAACCATCCATGCTAAGGTGTCATCATCCGGCTTTGTGACAACAGAAGTTTCCTGTTGATGTCCTGCAGAAAGTGAAATTTTCCACTTAGCAAAACTACGAACTACTTGTGCCTTGGGGAAGGAATTTGGGAGGGAGCTAAAAGATATGAAAGTATTTGTTTAAGTAATGAACAGTGGAAAACTAACAGCTCTAACCTTGAAGAAGAGCTAACAAGCTGATAAAAGGGAACATCTTGGCACCAAAGACTGGATGGTGGCCAGAGAAGCATGAAGTCTGGTAAAACTGCAGTAACTGGGTGAAAGGTAAATGCGGCAAGGGGAGATCGCGACCACTAACTCGATTCAGGACCAAAAAGACTTACACCCCCCTCCCCCCCACACGCCTGAAAGGAGCATGCGTGCTAAATTACATAGCAAGCAAGGCTAATTTAAATACAGTTAACCAATAGTGTATGAAATGTTAATCACTAACCAATAAGTGTAAATTTGGGTGGGTTTATACTAATCATGTAGCAGGATAAATATGCTGTAGTTTTGTACAACAGCATGCTTGATTTGTGGAATTACCACCAAGCACCCTACGCAGAATAAAGCAATGTCAGCTCTCTAAACTAGACTTTTAGTCTTTCATTTGGAGGGTTTTCTCAATTACAAGCAACACTGTCAAGTATTTTTGCTGCTGTTGCAGTGAGATTTAACAGCTTAGGAAC